AGAATCATGAGTATGTAGATGCCATGTTAAGCCATTGGTCTGAAGAGATAAAATACAGATAGAGAGAAGAGGCCCTAGCAACATGCTTTTAAACACTACAACATTTAGAAAAGATCCAGATAAGTTTAGGTTCTGTAAACATACAGTGTATTACTGTTTTAAATTATCTAATTTTCCTTTGACAATTTTTGATCATTTCTTTGAATATCATATTTTTCTTTAAAGGCTAAAAAAATAGTCTTCACTCAAAAATGAATTATATCTGCCCTTTTTTGTGAATATGCTGATATCTCATAGGATTCTGTACAGTAATTATTTTTGGCCTACAGTAATTGTGCAAATGAGTTTGCAACTAGATAGATCATTGCAAAAATGTGCTGAGTAGATTTAGTAGTAAAGGAAAATAAAGTTGTAAAACAGATGGCGTGTCTTAAAAATTTATCTCTTCTCTGCACTGCACAACATTCGGGTTTGGCCATTTAATTATTTGTTTTCTAATTAGTATAACTTTATTTCTGGCTTTGGTCATTTTTCCAGAAGTCTCCATTTTTGATCCTCCGTAACATTTGTCTCTATGAAGTCTTTGCCAAATGGATAGAGAAGTGACAGATATTGTGTACTATATTGGACTATAGTGAGGAGTTCAGTGTATGAAATTTAGAATACTGGCATTTTACAAACTTCTAAAAGACAAAACTATTCTTCTTAACCACTTGAAGTCTTACTTCCTATAATTCATATCCTCTGTTTGAAATAATCAAAAGAAAACATGATCATTTTCTCAGTGCTTTACTGCTTTAGAATCAATCTATTTACACTGTCTTTTGCACTGCCTACCACCTAACAACATGTTTTTCAAAGACCGTAGTAGGCAAAAAATTATCTATGGCTTAATTTGTGTATATTGTGTATTTTGAAACGTTATATATCTGAAAAGTATTATGAGAAAAATAATTATTTCTCTATCTACATTTAAGTGAATGGACTTTAAAGTAAACATATGTTTTCATTCTGATTTCAAAAATTAAATGTTAGATGTAAGGAAAAACAGTAAAAAAAAAAAAAAAAAAGTGCCTCTCCTGCAAAGGAAGAGTGTGATAATGACTACTGTTGCCAGGATTGTGTCTATTGTCCTATGTGTCTCTTGTATCTGTTTCTTCCTTTTTTCCTCTTTACCATCAATAGTGATTTAGGAGATAATTGTTTCTTATTAGACAGTTGCAATGACATCTTGGTATTTCTTCAGATCCTCTGGTGACAGGTAACACCAAAAATTTATATTTTAAAACTAGTTTCTCAAGAATTTCTTATGCCCGCTTACATTTTACAAACCATTGGTATAAGTTAAGAAAATTATTTTTAATCTATGCCTTATCATAAGATAGTCCCTAGTTTTGAGCTTTATTATTATTCACAGATTAAGTAAATCTTTCAACACTTTTTTTATGCCTACCATATGTTAGGTCCTGTGCTTTGTAGTAAAATATAGTTAAAGATATATAAGACATAAAGAATTTACAATATTGTAAGGAAAACAAGCTATGCATAAGATAAAATGCAAGGAAGAAAATGATAAATGACATAAGAAATTGCTAAATGGCTGGAGGTACAGAGGCAAGCAAGTGTGAAATCAGGAAGTTCAGTATGATTGACAGAAAACATGCTTGAAGGAAAGGAGTGGGAAATGAGTCTACAAAAGGAAATAAAATTGTGAGGGGGCTTAAATCTTAGGTTAAAGAGTTTTAGCTTCTTCCTAGAATTAAGAACAATTGTATGCTCTTTGAAATGAAAGAAATTATTTTTATAATGCATCAGTCTCACAGGTGACTTATTTGAAATAGGACAATAGTCATTTAAATGTCTATACTGATTTTAATAAGTATCTTTTGATTTTAATCCATCAGACATTATCAGAGTACAAAGATTAATAGTCCCTCTCCTTGAATAATTAAGTTCCATTCTGCACTTTATAGTCATATTTTGCAAAGACACTTGTAATTGGGTGTCAGGCTGAATTTCACAATAGTCTTTCCTGATGTGTGAACAGGGCCCTTGCTCATTGATTTATAAAGTGTGTTCAGACTCTTATTATTATTATTATATTCTTAATTATATGTATATTTTATATATATATATATATATAATATATATATATATATGAATATGCTGTTGAGTAGATATTCGGTGAAGCTTTTTATAAAAATTATGTTAGGAAGAAGTTCATAAGCCAAGACACCTGGAGATTTATTTGATACTTAATTACTGATATATACTAAAAATACAACAGATATTTACTGAATTACTTCTTCTTACTGTGGGGGACACAGGATCAGTTTGGACAGTCCCTGTGGTCAGGTTGCCCACAGTTTTAGTAAAAGGTTTAAAACAAAACCACAGGAAGAGGATGATAAATCTACACAAATATATATGTAGCACTACTACTACTAAATTTACAATAAGAGAGCTATTATTCTTTTTAGGGAGTTATAAAAAAGTGCTTGAAAGTGAAGGTAATATGTGATCTGACTATAAAAAAATAGGTAAGCCTAGAAATTAGTTTTGGAGTTAGGATAAGAAGAAGGGGAATTCTAGATGGAAATAACTTCATAAAAGCTATGTAAAGACAAAAAAACATGAAGTATATTCAGAGACTAGTTAGTACTTTTCTCTTTCTAGACCTATAGAAACCATGTAGGGGAGTAGTAGTTAAGCTGGAAAAGCAGGAAAGAGATATTTTGCTCTTGGACATTGACTAAGACTTTATTTTACACTTGGCTCATATGGCAATGGTTTACTACTGCAAGTCACTGAAGTACCATGATCACAGCTGGGCTTGTATGAATTCCTCTTTTGTCCTTCAGACCTTGTAGGGTAGTGTGCGTGGACCTGGATGGTGCTTGTGGGCTATACCTGTGGCTCCAGGATGAGAGAAGAACTCCTGCCTGAAATAGCTTAAAGCTGGAAGGGCCCTGGGAATAAATTTGAGTTGAAAAATCTCCAGGGAGCCAAAAACATGTACACACAGTTAAGGAGTAGAAAACAGGGTCCTTAGTAAGGAGATGAACTAAGAGCCATATAAGGGACTTGGAACAGCAACTTGGGAACAAGTAGCACGTGCCTGAGAATTTTATAGGTCAACACCTTCAATTTGTGGGTTGGTGTGTGGATTGTGGGCCAGAACAGACAGAACTTCAAGAACAGTTTTCTAGCAACAGTGTATCATATAATCTTCATGATGGCAAGCAGAATTTGGAGAATTGAAGTAGTACTGGGAGAACTGAAGTAGGACTGGCTAAGACAAAGAAGATTGAACTAGGGTGATGAGTAGGAACAGAAAAGAGGAGAGAAATAAGACATTAAAAGAAAATCAACACAAATTGAAACTAAGTACAAGTGTTAGGTGAGAGAGAAAAAGGTGACTGGGAAAATGCTATAAGGTAAAATAAAGTTTAGAATTGTTGGTTTTGTAGATTGGGGGAAAAAATGATGTGTTTTTTGGAATAGTCTATTCAAAATTTTATGCTTTAGTTTTTCTGAAAATAATTTTGAAAAATGGGGAGTCTCCCTAGATATTTTTAGTTTATACCTTAAAATTTTTAATAGACTTTAGAATAGGCAACCCCCAAATTTAAAAATCAACAAAATGAACATACTGAAAGAGAAAATAAAGTATTACTAATATGAAACAAGAATATGAAATGCTAAAAAAATAACCATATTCTCTTTTAGCACACTTTCATGTAAAGAGAATATATAGATATCAGATTTTTAAAGTAGGAAAGAATTTAAAAAACATATAATGGGAGGAATGAATTGAAATAATAAATTTACATGGTTGAAACAAGTCCAAATATAGAAATGATTACAAGTAAATGGACAAAAATATCTGTTTAAAGATATATTGTCAAATTGAATATTTAAAAATCTGGCTATTTACAAGAAACATGTTTGAAACATAAAGGCATGGAATGTTGAAAGACAGAATGTAGCTGAATATAGCTGAATTAATATTAAGTACATTTGACAAATCATCATTGAGAAATCTTACTTTATAATAATTATGAAAGTCCAACTGATTATTATCATTCCATACTTAAAGTTTGTCTTCAACCATAAATACAGTTAATATCATTAAATCCTTAACAATATATTCAGATGTACTCAACAATGTATTCAGATGCTTAACAATCCACCTACACATCAGATTAATTTAGAATTTCCCCATAGCTGTGCATACACTTGAACTTGTCATTTTAGTTAAAAAGCAATCCAAACTTCTTACTCAAATTTTGTTTTAACAGTGTGAACTAGGATAAAAAACAATACTTGCCTAATTAAGCAGGAGCCATTTGAACATGTATTCATGTATTTCTTGGCATATTAAATGGGATATTATGTTCAATAAAGTTTAGTTAATACAAAATGGTCAGTTTGGGTCTGATATAGTCATATCTGTGATTAAAAAAATACAATTAGACAATTATAATCAAAATGATCACATTATATGTAAATATTCCAAACAATAGCTTTCAAATCAAGTATCTGTATTCTTAGACATACTTCTTAACTACACAGTGGAATTTAGATTTTGTTTTTACCTAGGCATTTTTATAGACTTATCATTAGCACTGGACCCACTAACCTTTGGGCAACTTCTTTCATTTTTTTCAACCCCCTATCAGTTTCAAAGAAAAGGGGTCTTTAGCTTTTCAGGAAATTGCTCTATATAGTGTCCTTGGCACAATCATACTGCATTGTTCTTTCAAGACAATATTTCCACTTTAAACTTTGACATATTATTACTGATATTATTCAAAAGGTGTGAGCCATGGCAGGATTGGGAGTGTGATTCCTTGGACATCGGAAGGTTTGTGTTTATTCATCATTGTAATTTTCCCATGTGACTATCATTTATTTGGGAGTATATAATACTAAAAGACATAGGAATCTTTTCAATCATCTAAGCTATTTATAACACCAAAATTCATTGTCTATATTAGGGAAATACACATTCTTCAATGAGGCCTACCAATGTATTAGAAATGATGAAAGAATGGAAAAATAACCCAGAAACCGATGAAGATGATGAGACAGCTGAGAAGAATAACTCATCTCTTCAAGAAAAGCTGGAAAGTTCCCAGCTCAGGGAAAATATCCAGGATGTCAATAATACTTCAGATGTAAAGAATCAAAAACAGGTAGGAAAAACTAGCAAAACAAGTAATAGAACAATTGTTTCATTTCTCCAAACTATAAAATACTCTTAGAATTCTGGGAACATTTTTGTATTTTTCAATGTCTTTTACATTTTTTTTGTTTTTTTAGATATACATGGCAGTAGAGTGTATTTTGACATATTATACATACATACTAATTCTAATTAGGATCTCATTCTTGTGGTTGTATATAATGTAGTTTCACTGGTCATGTATCATATATGAACATAGGAAAGTTATGTCTAATTCATTCTACTGTCTTTCGTATTCCCATCCCCCCATCCCTTCCCTTCATTGCCTTTTGTCTAATTCAATGAACTTCTATTCTCTACTGCCTCCCCTATTGTGTTATCATCTGCATAACAGAAAGAACATTTGGCCTTTGGTTTTGTAGCATTGACTTATTTCACTCACATGATAGTTTCCAGTAACATCCATTTAGTGGAAAATGACATAATTTCATTCTTCTTTATGGCTGAGTAATAGTACATTTTGTATATATACCATATTATCCATTCATCTGCTGAAGAACACCTAGGTTGGTTCCATTGTATAAGGTAACTGTATCTTTGTGAATTGTGCTGCTATAAACATTGATGTGTCTGTGTCACTATAGTATGCTGTTACTGAGGAGTGAGATAACTGGGTCAAATGGTCAAAGATTTCTGAGAAATCTCTATTCTGCTTTCCATAGTGGTTAAAACAATTTGCAGTCCTACCAGCAATGTATGAGTGTACCTTTCCCCCCTCACCCTTGTCAACATTTACTGTTACTTTATTCTTGAAAATTGCCATTCTGACTAGAGTGAGATGAAATCTCAGTGTAGTTTTATTGCATTTCTCTAATTGCTAGAGACGGTGAACATTTTCATATATTTCTTCTTTTGTGAAGTGTCTGTTCAGTTCCTTTGCCCATTTATTGATTGAGTTATTTGTATTTTTGGTGCTAAATTTTTTGAGTTCTTTATATAACCTAGAAATTATTTCTCTGTCTGTGGTACAGTTGGCAAAGATTTGCTTCCATTCTGTAGGTTCTCTCTTACCATTCTTGATTGATTGTTTCCTTTGCTCTGAAGAAGTTTTCAAATTTGATACCATCTCATTTATTGATTATTGATTTTACTTCTTGTGCTTTAGGATCTTGATCTTGTTAAGGATATCAGTTTCTACATTTTCTTCTAGTATGTTTGGGGTTTCTGGTATAACTTCTAGGTCTTTGATCCACTTTGAATTGAGTTTTGTGCATGCTGAGAAGGATTAATTTCATTCCACTACATACGGATTGCCAGTTTTCCATGCACCATTTGTTGAAGAGGCTTTTTCTCCAATGTCTGTTTTTGGCCCCTTTATCAAGTATGAGGTAACTGTATCTTTGTGGGTTTGTCTCTCTTCTATTTTGTTCTATTGGTCTTCTTGCCTGCTTTGGTGCCAATACCATGCTTTTTCTGTTACTAAAGCTCTGTAGTATAATTTAAGGTCTGGGATTGTGATTCACCCTGTTTCACCTTTCTTACTATGGGCTGCTTTGGCAATTCTGGGTTTCTTATTTTTCCAGATGAATTTCATGACTGCTTTTTCCATTTCTATGAAGAACATTATTGGAATGTTGATAGGAATTGCATTGAATCTGTATAGTGCTTTTGGTAGTATGGCCATTTTGATAATATTAATTCTGCCTATCCAAGAACATGGGAGGTCTTTCCATCTTCTAAGTTCCTCCTCTAATTCTTTCTTCAGTGTTCTGTAGTTTTCATTGTAGAGGTCCCTCGCCTCTTTTATTAGATTGATTTACAAGTATTTTATTTTTCTTTTTGGAAGCTATTGTGAATGGGATGGTTTTCCTAGTTTCTTTTTCAGCTTGATTATCATTGCAATATAGGAATACAGTTGATTTCTGGATGTTAATTTTATATTCTGTTACATTGCTGAATTCATGAGTTCTAGAAGGTTTGAATGGAGTTTTTTGGGTCTTCTAACTGTAGGATTATGTTGTCAACAAACAGAGATACTTTGAGCTCTTCTTTTCCTATTTTTATCCCTTTAATTTATTTCTTTTGCCAAATTGCTCTGGCTAGAGTTTCAAGGACTATGTGAAATGGAAGTGGTGAAACAGGGCATCTTTGTACTGTTCTGTTTTTATGGAGAATTCTTTTAATTTTTCTCCATTAGAATAATGTTTGCCTTGGGTTTGTCATAAATAACTTTTACAGTGATGAGGAATGTTCCTTCTATCCCTATTTTTCCTAGTGTTTTAAATGAGTGGAAGCTGTATTTGAATGCTTTTTCTGCATCTATTGATATAATCATGTGATTCTTGTTTTTAAAAATATTTATGTGATGAGTTAATTTATTGATTTCCATATATTGAACCAACCTTGTTTTCCTGGAATGAAATCCACTTGATCATGGTGCACTGTCTTTTAAATTTGTTTTTGTATGTGATTTGCCAATATTTTTATTAAGAATTTTTGCATGTATGTTTATCAATTATATTGGTCTGAAGTTTTATTTCTTTGATATGTCCTTGTCTGGTTTTAGTATGAGAGTGATACTAGCTTCATAGAATGTGTTTGGAAGAGTTCCCTCCTTTTCTATTCCATGGAATAATTTGAAGAGAATTGGTATTAATTCTTCTGTAAAGGTCTGGTAGAACTCTGCTGAGAGTTCATACAATCTGGGGCTTTTCTTTTTGGTAGGCTTTTGATGGCTGCTTCAATTTCTTACTTGAAATTGGTTTGTTTAACTTTTTATACCCTCTTGGTTTGACATGAGTAGGTCATATGTCTCTAGGAATTTGTTAATATCTTCAAGATTTTCTATTTTATTAGAGTATACATTTTCAAAATAATTTCTGATTATTCTCTGTATTTCAGTAGTATCTGTAGTGATATTTCTTTTTTCATCTCAGATTTTAACAATTTAAGCTTTTTCTCTTTTTCTTTTGGTTAGTTTGGTTAATGGTAAATTTATCAATTTTGTTAATTTTTTTCAAAGAACCAACTTTTTGTATCATTAATTTTTAAAATATTTTTAATTGTAGATGTATACAAACCTTTATTTTTTTATTTTTATTTAGTGCTGAGGATTGATTTCAGTGCCTCACACGAGCTAGGCAAGCGCCCTACCACTGAGCTACAACCCCAGCTGCTGTATCATTGATTTAAAAAATTTTTTTAAAATCTTGATTTCATTGATTTTGGCTCTGGTTTTAATTATTTCCTGTGTTCTATTGATTTTGGATTGGTTTATTCCTCTTTGTATAGGATCTTGAGATGTAATGTTAGGTTATTTTTTAGGTATTTTTCTGTTTTTTTAATGAATGAGCTCAATATAATGAACTTTCCTCTTAGAACCACATTCATAGTATCCCAGAGATTTTGATAAGTTATATCTCTATTCTAATTTTGTTCTAAGTATTTTTTTAATTTTATTTTTTAAATTATATTTTTATTTTATTTTTTAAAAATTTTTATTTTATTTTTTATTCACTCCTGATTTCTTCTGCTGTCTTTATTCAATGGTGAATTTTTTGGTCTCCACGTGTTAGAGTAGTTTTTATTTTTTGCCTTATTGTAGATTTTTAATTTCATTCCATTATGATCTGATAGAATGCAGGGTATTGTCCTGCTAAGAATTGCTTTGTGGCCTGTGATGTGATCTAATTTAGAAAATATTCCATGTGTTGCTGAAAAGAAATGGTTTTCATTCATTGATGGATGAAATACTCTAAGTAAGTCTATTAAGTCTAAATTATTAATTGTATTTTTAAGTCCTGTAACTTCCTTATTAAGTTTTTGTTTAGAAGATCTATTTAGTGATGAAAGAGGCATGTTAAAGTCACCCAGTATTATTGTGTTGAGGTCTGATTCTGAATTTTGAGAAGGGTTTGTTTGATGTATATAGGTGCTCCATTGTTTGGAGAATAAATATTTATGATTGCTATTTCCTATTGTTGTATTATTCCCTTAAGCAGTATGAAATGATCTTCTTGGTTTCTTCTGATTAATTTTGGCTTGAAGTCTACTTTATCTGATATGAGGATAGGATAGAAACCTTTGCTTATTTACTAGATCCATGTGAGAGACATGTTTTTTTTCCCCATCCTTTTATCTTCAATCTGTGGATGCCTTTTCTTATGAGGTGAGTCTCTTGAAGACAGCATATTGTTGGGTCTTGTTTTTTAATCCAGTATGCCAGTCTATGTCTGTGTATGTGTGTGTGGGTGGGTGTGTGTGTACACGTACCAGGGATTGAACTCAGGGGCACTCGACCACTGAGCCACATCCCCAGCCCTATTTTGTATTTTATTTAGAGACAGGGTCTCACAGAGTTGCTTAATTTTTCCTAAGGCTGACTTTGAACTTGCAATCCTCTTGCTTAGCATTCTGAGCTGCTGGGATTACAGGTGTTGCACCAGTGTGCCCAGCAGCCTATGTCTTTTGATTGATGAGTTTAGTTCATTAACATTCAGTGTTATTATTAAGAGATGATTTTTATTTCCTGTCATTTGGATTTATTTTTAGTTTTTACATTGAATTGATTTTCCTTTGCTTGACTATTCTTCTAGGGTAGTTTCTCCCTTATGCTGGTTTTAATTCTTATTCTCCATTTCTTCTTCATGAAATACTTTATTGAATATGTATTGTAGACAGGCTTCCTAGTTGTGAATTCTTTTAACTTTTGTTTATCATGAAAGGTTTATTATGTCTTCAGTTATGAAGCTTAATTTTGCTGAAAATAGTATTCTTGGCATCCATTTTCTTTTAGAGCTTGGTATTATTCTAAGACCCTCCTTGTATTTCATTGAAAAGATTATACATTCCTTTAGTTTGTACTTCAGAGCCTTCATCTATCCCTATAAAGATTTCTTGAAAGTACTGTTCATGGTCTCTTAAGATCTTTTCTCCACAAATTTATTTTCAAGATTATATACTTTGTCATCATTGCCTGAAACTCTCTATCTTCCAAACAATCTAATCTAT